TGGAGCTGGCTGGATCTAGGGTGTATATACTGAGATTAAAGGTGTGATAACTAAATCAGCCCACTGATAGGTTTAGCACTGTTCTGAGTGTGAATCATGGGAAGGCCCACCCTGGTGTGGATGGCACAGCCTAAAAGCCTGGTAGCCTGGACAGGATAAAAGAAGGGGAGCTGCTGCTGCCACTGCCTGCCTGCTCTTCCCTGACCTGTTTCTCCTCTGATACCTCTCTACCATGCCACCCTGCCTTAAAGCCAGCAGACAGTGGACTGAACCTCTACAAACTGTAAGCTAAAATAAACCTTTCCCCTTTAATTCTGAGTGTCGAGTATATTGTCCTAGTAGCAAGTAAGGTAACTAAGACACCTGGCTTCCTCACAAGGGCACAGCAAGCTGAAGCGGGTGGACTCAGAGCAGCCAGGACAACACTGGCCAAGGGAGGAGAGTGGCGAGGGGTGCACTCCACCTCCCCACTGCAGGGTCACCGCTGTCACCCTCCCCCAGCTTTCTCTTGCATCAGCTCCTACATTTTCACAGCTTTCTCAGGGCATGCAGGCAAACACCAGTGCGCCCTGCTTTCAGGAGCTCCCTGGTCCTGCCTGGGAGGGATGGGGTGGCTGGCCTCCTTGGGCAGTCCCAGCACTTCCCTGGGCCACTTTCTCCTTACATGGGCTCAGTCACTTTCCCGCTTTCATAACACACCAGGGCACACAAGCCCTGCTGTGCCAGCTTCCAGCCCTGGCCCGCCCTGCTCTGGCTCCGAGCCATCTTCCTATTCCTCCTGGGCCCCAGGGCCTTGGCAGCAGCTCTGACACCATACTGCTATTTTGGAGGGGCCCAGGGGAAATCTCTTTGCTTGTACAGGGTTTGGGCAGGATCTACACTCTCAGAAAGGGAAAGGCCCCCCTCTCACCTCCGTATCCCAGGGTACAGGGAACAGAGACCTTGAACTCCAAATGCCTGCTGAGGCTCCCTGCAGGGCTAGGTGCCTCCTATATAAAGAGACACACTTGAGCTGCAGGACATGCAACCCAGACAGCTCAGCCCAATGGCAACTGACAGCTACCAATAAAATCCCTTTAGCCCCCAAACTCTACTAGTAATAAAGGGGGTTGGGCTCCCAGAGCAAGTATTCTGGACCTATGTTAAATGGGTTACACATCTCATTTCACCCTTAAAAGGTGGTCTTCAGGACCAAGACCACATCTCATTTCTCCCTCACGAGGGAGGGGTATATTATTACCTACAAAATAAAACGTTCAAGGTTTTTCCCACGTACCAGCAGTGGCCCAGCAGAAAGCATAACCTAGCCACAAATACTGCCTCATTAAGATATAAGCCACTTCCTTGGAGAGCTCCCTCAACATGTTTTGCTTATAAACACTAGGAGGTAATGCCAATATGTAAACCTCTGAAGAGCAAACCCTGCACAAGTCCTCAAGGGTCACCCCCAGAAGCACAGCGGCAAGGGGTACAGCACCCCACACACACTCCACAGGCCTCCATCTCCCTGCCCCTGGTCAGTGGGATGACCAGATAAGGGGGAGGTACCATGTCACCCCCAGCAGAGTGAGGCTCCTGGCGTGTCCAAGACAGAATGGTTCCTCCGCCTCAGGTGATGGGGACACTATGGAAGGCAGAACAGGAGCAAAGGAAACTGGATGTTGCTGACATCACCAGGCCACTTGGATCAAACCAACCCTGAAACTCACCATCTCCAGACTTTCTAGTTTCCCAGCCAAAACCCTCCCTCTCACTGCCAGGCCAGTTTGAATTGGGTTTTGAGCTACCTGTGACTAAAGATGCTCCCTTGGTATGAAAGCAAGGCCCACTGGCTCATGGCACAGCCCTACTGGGGCAGTGTGACAGTGTGACTGTGCCATAGCTGGGCACACTGAGTAAGACCACCACAAGGGTGCTGCGCAGAATGACTGTTGTTTGTGTGAATCCCTAGAGGTACTTTCTGGAAGGTTCTCAATAGTGGCTGCCTCTGGGCACCCAAAGACTTTACACTCTATTTAGATTGCTTTTACTTATGTATATTTTTAAAAGACTGGTTTAAAAGTTATTTGAGGTGGTAAATTATAGTCCAAGGTGATAACTTTGGTAGTTATGAAGCCATAACTTTGAAACCCTGCTCAGATGTAAGATGCAGAGCACAGAAGAACACTGAGTGAAGAAATAACTGCCTCTGATCTTTGTAAGGATACCTCCTGCTCCTGCTCCTGCTCCTGCTCCTGCTCCTGCTCCTGCTCCATAGCTGGGATTCCACCAAATGCAACTTTCCAGAACAGCATCCACTCAAACATATGCTAAAATCTTTTTCTCCAAAGGTGCAACACAATCCCATTTGTATGATGGTCATTTGACGTTTGTCTGAGGAACCCTGGAGACCACAAAAGCCTGAGAAGAAACATGGCTTCAGTGCTCAGAAGGGGAAAGGCCAGGTAGACTCAGCAGAGATAGATGGTGTGTCCAAGAGCGAGCCCCAGGTGGCCAGGACAGGAAGGGCGGACACAAGACCAGGGATATCCCAGCAGGGAGTCACCACAATATTCAGGAACAAAACACTCCAAGGTTCTCAGCAGTGACAGCCTGTTTCTAGGGCAGTGTCCCTCTCCCAGAAGAGAGGCATGTCAGGCACAAGCCCGTGTGTGGCTGTGACACTTGGGGGCTTCTGCGGGCCCCTGGGGCTGGGGTGCAAAGGGAGGAAGGGCCAGGAGTGAAGTTCTGGGTGACAGTTTCAGGACCACCAAGACCACATGGCACTCGAAGGTCCTGAAGGTGGATGGATCTCCGGCTCTTTGGAGAGAACAGCACTGCAGAAGCTGCCATCTGCCCTAGAGGCCCTGGTCACATCCTCCCAAAGTGACCAGGTACAAGAAACTACCAAGATCCATCATGAACACAGGTAGCCACAGCTCTGGTCAGACAACCTAAAACCCCACTGCCTGGACTTGGAGCAAGCCCAACCATGAAGGCCACGCCCTGTTCCTTCTCCCAGCTCACCTGGTACAGCTGAGGGCTTTGCCCCAGTGGGGCCAGGCTGACACCTGCGGAGGGGACCCAGGTGCTGAGTCAGCTACGCCAGGTTCTGGGAACGCTCAGGACCTCCCCTTCTTGCAAGCTTCTGCAGTCTCCATTGCCCTGAAGCCATCAGATGATCCCTCACCTACTGGGAGCATGCCAGGGGAGCAGCTCACAGCCCCAGCAGCCTCTGTGGGCAGTCTTCTTGAAAAGTCTGTGTCCTGTCCCACAGTGCTACGAGAGAGCCCTCCACAAGCCAGAGGAGGTAGTAGTAGTGTGGCCTTTCCTGCACCCTGTTTTAGCAAAGAGGCAGCTCCCACAAAGAAGGGAGCAGCCTGGGACAGCTTAGTGCAGCTCGGCGCAGCTCAGCCTTGAAGAGGAGAGAGCTGCTGCCCAGCCCGAGCCTCTGGCCCAGGAAAAGGCTGAGCTCCTTGGGGCAACAGCACAGGGGTTACCCAAACTCAACATCCAAATCCAGCTATGGAGAAGAAATCAATACTTTTCCATGTTTTCCAAATGTCTGTGGACCTGCCAGAACCCAGTCTTCCGGGTCTAGCTTACCCTGCTGTTTGTAGCAAAGATCAACTTGCTTTAGTGCTCAGGGGTGGAGGGCACTATACGTTCGGTTTCTGCAGCAGGAAGAGGTTCTGGACTTCTCTGGTTTGAACCCAGGCCTTCCAAATCTTCAACTGTAATTCACTTTTCTGAGCCTTATTTTGGCATGAAAATGGCCTCCTCAGAGCTGTTCTGAGTTTATTAACACTAGAGACTGAATACTTCCTATGTTTCTGGAAGGTTCTGAATCCAATAAGTGTCAGTGCTATGGCTTCCTGTGGAGCAGTGCAGGGGTTTTCTAGCCCAGCCCTTGGCCTGAGGGGAAGGACCACCAGAAGCTTACGAGGGGAGCCTGGGCCTCAGGAGCAGAGTGAGCAGGAGCAGCCCAAAGCATTAGAGGCTGTGAAGGCCCAATGGCTGACAAGTGGCCAGATGAGGGGAGCTGAAGGTGGGAGCTGCCGAGCGGTGCAAGACACCTAGGGTAGGAAGGGAGGAAGGTGACAGGGCCACAGCCTGCCTTCAGGATGGGAGAGGAAGACCCGCAGCCTGGGAACCTGCAGCACCATCCTGAGAGGAGGCGGGCAGGGGACACAGGAGGCCATGAGGAGGCTGGAACTGAGGCAAACAGCACAGAGGTGGCAGGCTGGCCTGTCCCACAAGGGGCAGGAGGTGGGGGTCCAGGGTCCATGCAGCATCTGGATGGTGACTGTGAGGACAGCACCTGTACACACACGCACACACACAAAGTCTTCTGCTCCTCTTCTTTCTGCAATCAGCTGTTCAGTCACACCTGATGGCCTAAAAATTTGATAAAATGATTGAAAAGTAAGTGCAACTCTGGCACTCACGGCCAGAAACCATCAGGAGCTGAGCTGTAACACGGGAAGACTCGAGGGAGGTCCAGCCAGTCTTCTGTGTGAGATGGGACAGCAGGGTTCTGGGGCCCCTGGTGCCAACACACTGGCAGGATGGCCTGTGGCCACAGTGCTCCAGGGGACTTGGGCAGAGGTGCCTGCTGGGTGGGCAGTGTCCCTGACCTTCCCCCCTCCTGGCACAAAGGAGCCAGGAGTCCAGGACACACTGGTGACCATGTGAGCACACCATCCACCACACTCCAGCCCCGGGCCCCGTAAGCTCTTTTTCTTGGTCAACAGCACTGCCTGGAGCTGGGCAGAGACAACTGAAAATACTGCTTGCTCGCAGGAAAGTTCCTCCAGCTCCACATACAGCTGTACGCCAAGTGGACCCAGTAGCCTGGACCGGAGGGCAAATGCAATTGCTGTCGGAACGCCAGTGACAGATTGCTCCTGCTGCCTGTGATCCCTGATGGTCCTATCACCCTGATCCCAGTGACTTCCCTGGCAGATGGATTTGCCACCAAGATCGATAATAGTGATGAAAAACAAAAACGACCAAAACAGGAGCATTAATATAAAGATATATTCCATAAAAGAGTCTGGCAGTCAAAGAGGAGCTTTACACTTCCTAAAAACACAGCATTCGTCTTCCTCTAGTCTACAGAGAATTGTAAAAACGAGAAACCAGAAAACAAAAATTATAACATCGTCATCATCATCAACAAACACCCACAGCATCACCAGTATGCACCACATGAGCATGTACACTGTGGCAGGCGACTTGGCCCTCAGCCTGGGAGGGCAGGGCCTGGAAAGCGCTGGAGCCCAGCCAAGAATGATGGAGGCCCAGGGTACTGCAGAGCAAGCCCCAGGTGGCCGGAACAGGAAGGGTGAACACGAGACCACAGATAACCGGCAGGGAGTCACCATGACATTTAGGAATGAAATGCCCCAAGCTTCCCAGCATGAGTGGCCTGGCCCTAGGGCAGTGTCCCTCTCCCAGAAGTGCACATCCATTGGGCAGTGTGGCTGTGACAGCTGGGGAAGGTCTCTGTGGGCCTCCTGGGGCTGGGGCTCTTTGGGGTGCCAGAGGCAAGGTCAGGATTCAAGTTCTGGGTGACAGTTTCAGTAGCACCAAGACCAGGAGACAGTGAGGCCAAGAGGGGTGGCGAAGGGTGTGGGGCCACAGCGGAAGGTGACAGTGTGGACTGAAGAGGCCATGTGGGTGGCTCTGAGACACTCCAGGGACACCGTGTAAGGCTGCTGAGAGGAGGATGCCCGAGGAAAGGAGGAGGACAGGCAGGCCTGCTGTGAGGACATTCTGACTGCTATAAATAAACTATGTACACTAGTGGCAGAAGAGCGGCTCCCAGAAGGGCCAGGCCCCAGCCCGCCTGGTCCCCTGGATTTAATGCTGCAGACACAGAGGCTGCTCTCGCCTCCCTCACGCAGGGGCTGCCGGGTCCCAGTCATGCCTGGCTCAGGCTCGCTTCAAGTGGACTTGGCTGGAGTAAAGCCCTCTGTGCAGCCACAGGGCTCCCATCTGTCCCTCAGAGTCACCACCACATGGGAAGACACGTTGTCCATTGGGTGGAGCAGCGTTGTGGTCTGGATTCCAGGCTTGTTGCAGGGCTCCTGGGTCTTCAGCACCAGCAACCAGGAGCAGAGAGGTCACGCTGCTGCAGAAGATGGTGCTGGCTCGAGTGGTTGTTGGCTTTGGATCCTCCCCTGCTAGCACAGGCTAGTGACACTGAAGGCCTGACCTCCACAATGAGGCTAGGCTCCTCAGAAGTGGTGACCGGCCTTTACTGCCTCAATGTCTGAGATCAGGGTCCTCGCCAGGAAGATGCCAAAAATCTGCAAGCAAAGGCAGCCGTCAGCCGTGTCAGCAGGGCCCAAAGGCAGAGGGCAGGGATAGGGGCAGGCTGAGGACACCCCCTGCACACAGGCCCTGTGCCCACCCTGTGTGGTCACAGGACACACAGAGGGCAATTCTGGGGCAAGTGGCTGGGCACAAAGGAGCCACTGGTAGGAGGTGAGCCCAAGGTCACTGCTGTCCCCAGGGCCTACAAGAGCCATGCAAGGCTCCACAAAGCAGAAGGGCCCTGGGCCCCACCTCCAACATGGGTAAGCATGTCACAGGCCACAGAGTGGTGTTGAACCTAAAATAACGGGCCATCCCAACTGGTTCCGATTCCCAATGGTAAGTCCCATAACCCTGTTTTTCCCATAACCCTGGATTTCCCATAACCCTGGATTCCCATAACCCTGGATTCCACCAGAAACCAAAACTGTCCCTGCTGTTGGCTGTCGAGGCTTTCTCCTCTGAATTGACCATGTGAGCTCGGGAACCTGTGATGCTGGCTTGGTTTCTCCCCTCTGTAATTCTTGCTGTGGTCTGGAACCGACCAGCCAGTCTTTCTCAAGTCTGATTTCCCTGCCTTCTTTCCCAGTGAGTTTCTCCTTTCCTCCTCTATGCTTCTCTGTCTCCTCTGCTCCACACACCGAGCACTGTGCAGTGAAGAGGCAGCACGTGGGCCAGCCGGGGTCAGGGCTCTGAGATCCCTCCAGGCCTGGCCAGAGGTCAACACCATCAGAGAACCCACGCTCCACAGCACCCGGCATCCAGCACAGGACACTGCCAGCAGCCCCAAGTGGCACTGAAAACACTGTCTGCTCCCTGATGTCACTGAATTCCTGACTCACGGGAGGACACTGACAGCCACGTACCCAGGCCTCACCACCCTTCTGTCAACATTCTTCCATGCATGAAATCTGGGTCAAATGAACACAAGAGCAGCCTTGCAGGAGAAAGACTCGTAAGGGGAGCAGTCGGGGGTGGGGGCTCCTATGAACAGGAGTACGGCCTGAGATGCATGCTGGTAACAGGAAGGAAGAGGTCCTGAAGAACCAAGTGGATCCAAGCCTTGGGTATCCTCCAGCACAGCTGACCACAGGGTCAGCCTTCATTCCAAAGCTCTCGCCATCCCCTCAAAGCCTACTGCCTCCACTCCCACAAGGAAGGACCCCTGAGCAGGTAGTAGCCCAGCCAGCACACACTCAACCCAACCTCCACTCTTGCAGCCTACTTGGCCTTCCCAGCCCCGTCTGAGACCCTCCTCACGTGACGTGTATGGGAGCCACCATGCTAGATGTGTGCATACACCCACCCACCCACACACACACACACCCACGGCCTAGATATGCAGTTTCTGATACCTGAGCTGGACAAGCATCCTGCTAAGGGTCCAACAGCTTCAAATGAAAAGCAACATGCCTGTCCAGCCCCATGGGCTCCTGGAACCCACCTGCAAGAGTGAGATGGCGAGGAAGACGCCAGCCACGATGTAGATGTTCCTCGGCAGCCAGCCCTCCAGGGCCGGGATACAGCCTTTTGTGAAGATGAATTCATCCCACTTGCTCTTCAGCTATAGGGAAACACACACTGGCCTGAGCCTGCAGAACACAGGCTGAACTCCTGGAAAGCCCAGCTCCAACACAGAGCAGGGCAAGTCATGGGAATGAGGGGCTCTGGGCGAGTGCCAGGGACAGTCAGTCAGGACTCTCTAATCCCAACCCCGTCAGACCAAACACTCTCTGCCTTCATCTGGAGTCCTTTCTGTTTGGGCCTCCAGGGTTTCCAAGACACTCTCAAAGCCCTTTCAGTTGGGGTCTGGAGGCAGGGAGGAAGATGTGCCTCTGAAGGGAGAAACAGGGAGAGGAGATTCCAAGTGGGGATAGTAGCTCCATGGGGAGTGCCTCCCTCAAGAAAACCTGGCTCCAGGACACAGCCAGTGGCTGATGCCCATCAGCCAGCCAGGTCCCTCCAAAGCCAACCCCTGGTGACAACCAGTAACTACACAGGGCCCGAGTCCCAGCCCACCCCCGTACAGCCCAGGGCCAAGCCCCTCTCTGTCCACCTCCTCCATGGTGAGTAACGGACACTCATTCATTCTGGCAGCACTATGGGCTGGCTGTGCCTCCTGCCCCAACTCGTATGAGCCCTGTTAGTCCCCAGGACCTTAGAATGTGACAGTATTTGGAGATAGTGTTTGGACAGAGGCCATAACAGTGGGTCGTGATCCAGCAGGACTGGTGTCCTTACAAGGAGAGTGATCAGGACACAGGCACAGAGATGAGCCACATGAAGACATAGAAAGCCCAGAGGAGAGGCCCGAAACACACTTTCCCTCTCAGCTCTGAGAAGGAACCCAGCCTGTGGACATGACTACTTTGGGCCCTCAGCCTGCAGCACTGCTGGTTAGGCCAACCAGGCTTTGGCACTTTGTCACGGAAGCCCTAGCAAACTAACATAAGGGGCAGCATGATCCGAAACCCAGGAAGCTGAGCTTAGAGGTCCACAGGTCTGTCTGGGCTGCTATAACCAAAGACCACAAGCTGGGTGGGTGAGACAACAAAAATATGTTTGTCACTGCTCCAGGGGCTGGGAGCTCCAACAGCAACGTGCTCGGGCTCACAGACCTTGCCTCCACTGTGCCCACACATGGTCAGCCCTCAGGGCCCTCGCCTCGCCCATCCCAGAGCTACCCTTCTGGCCTAATCACCTCTCAAGGGTCCATCTTCAAGAAACCATCACACTGGCCACTAGGGTTCAATCTATGAACTGGGGGGTAAGCAAACATGCAGCCATAGTGGCCAGTCCCTGAGAAATGGAAGTCACTGAGGAAGAGCTGTTGAGTGTCCCAAGCTGCCCACATACATCCTCGTGTCCGGGCCAACAGTAGGGCCCCCACAGAGTCCCAAGCCTACCCTTTTGGGACTGCATTATTCTTATCAGAGGCCACCAGAGCAAGAACTGGAGGGGGGGTGCTGGGCAATATCTGTTTCTTCGGGGTGAGGGTCTTGTTCTCTTTACATATGAGCACTGATCCCCTGTGGCCTGAGGGAGCCCCAAGAATTCTGAGCCCGCCCCAGGCTGTCTCCCACCAGCCATGACCACCCATCACCACTGCCTCCCTGGGCAAGAAGGGTGCAGCAACACTCTCCATGGTGTCACCAAGAACCCCTTTAAGGAGTCTCTTAAAAATGCAATCTTTGTTCCCCAAAACTTTCGACCTCCCACTCTAACGCACCAGTGACTATGTCTGGGCACTGGAGTCACAGGGCTTTCAACCTCCACCCAGCCCTGCCTCGGAGGTTCTGCCACCAGCTCAGGAGCCCAGCGTGTGGTAAAATGTCCCACTCAGCTGTCTCCCACGTTGAATGATGCCTTTTGAGTTAACCTCCCCTCATTTCTCATTCCAATCTGTACTTCTGCTAAGTCAGGAAGTTAGACCATAGAGAATAAAAACCTAAAAAGCTGTCACCCTAAAGAACTTTCGAAGTTAGGTGCACTGGGGTGCTCACCTGAATCCTGACATCATATCCACACTGTGTGTTCACAACTTTTTGCTGTAAAAAAAAGCAGAAAAGTAAGTCACATTTATCCTCCTGAGAAGCTGCAGTTGGAAGCCCTAAAAAAAAATCATACTCCAGGATCAACAGACCTGTGCCAGTCCCATCACAGCACACACCATCACAGCGCACACCAGCAGACCTGCGCCAGTCCCATCACAGCGCACACCAGCAGACCTGCGCCAGTCCCATCACAGC